TTTCTTTGATTTGTAATCTAACAGGTTCAGGATCAAGAGAACGATGAGGTGTCACTTTCGAAGCGCTGTAGTGATATTAGATCTATTTTACCAATGACGACAGGGTGGACATCGGTACTGAAACCTACCCGAACACAGAAAAAAATGAATCTGTTTAAGAGAGAACATAAATATGCTCTTCTGAAGCTATTGGTTTGAGCCGTGTAGCAGAAAGTGTGAAAAAGGAGGGAGAGTGAGATTGTCCGCTAGGTCCTCTGAAGGCTTTTAAGTAAATTTAAGCGGCGCAAACCCTGGAGGAGGTCACCAGCAGTGACCTTGGGGGCAGAAGCCCTACTAAGCAGAGAGACAGGAAAGCTGAACATGGCAGCGGAAACAGAGTGGGGTGACCTTGGCGTTGGAGGCTCTTCCCTTCCTCAGCCATCCGTAATGTATTTGAGCACTGCTCTCTGCTACGGAGCTAGCCTTGAAAACCACCCACAGTGGAGTTTTGAGAGTGGGACACTAAAGGGTCTTTGTGAGCTGATGTATTTTTCCCTTAATTCCATCCTTAACCGCTTTCGGAATGGTTGCTCTGGTCCAGCAATTCTACTTTTAGGAATTTGTCCTAAAGAAGTAGTCAGGGATGTATAAAAAGATCTGACTACAGGAGAGATCGTCGTGGCATTTTAATCGGAAATGATATGAATGGCTATATAAATTATGATACAGCCTTAATATGGAATGTTATGCAGCCATTAATAATCGTGTTATGGAAGATAGGACTTGAGAAAAATTGCTAAATATTGTTGAGTTAGGAAATATTTCAAATCAGTGTTTTTGTTTGTTTTGTTTTTTTGAGAAAAATGTTCATACATGTGTATTGAAAAACTGAAAGGATACATGCTTCTACAAAGCCTGGGTTCAGAAGTTAAGAGTGCTGTTTGAATCCCTCTGGGGTTCAAGGAGGGAGATGCCATAGAAGAAGGGGACTACAGGAAACTGCTTTGTATATACAAAGTGTTGTTCCTTAGGAAGAGTTGTAGGAAAAAGAAGATTATATTCCTCTTTATACCTTTTTGTACATATAAAGTAGTTCATTGCATTTTTTTTTTCAGAAAGACTATAGACCGATAATATTGACTTCTAATTTTTTAAAACTATAAGGGGCCATAAAAAATCATCTAATTGAGCCATTTTATTTTACAGATTAGGAAACTGAAGACCTGCAGAACTGTGTCAACTTTCTGGTTTCTAGAAATAGCTAGACTATAACCCAAATTTCCTGTCGCTTTACTAAATCAATGGTTTGTGAACATAGTTCTTAAAGAAGGAAATGGTGATTACTAAGAGTCAGTTATGAGTTTTTAAGTCAATTTAATTTTCTTTTTTTGGTAAGGTTATTTGACTGGTAGAAAAGGGAAATACTATAATTATGGTTTATTTTTTATTATAGCAAGTCATTTGATCAAATCTTATGAAATCCTTTGCAAAAGATGGAGAAATGTTGTGTGAACTAAAATAAAATTTTAAGACTCACCCCCCACCAGCTGACTAAATGGACCCCCTCGTGGCCAAAGCAATATCCTAAAACTAAATTGCCTGCCAGGAGGAAGGAGGTCAGACATGCCTTATCATGTCCTCCTCCCTTCTTGGGGACATCCTTGTGACCCATTAACAGGCCTAAGGCTATGCAAGACAAACCTGCAGGTCCTCAATTTACACAACAAATCTATGTCCAGTGGCTTATCTCTGATAAACAGCTCCTTATGTTTAAACATTCCAAGCCTTTAGATAAAGCTTCATGTCTTTAACCAATTACAAGCCAAAGAATCTTTAAACCCACCTATAACCTGTAAGCCCCTGCTTCGAGATGGCCCACCTTTCGGGCCAAACCAATGTATGCCTCCCACGTATTGATTCATGACTTTACCTGTAACCCCTGTCTCCCTGAAATGTATAAAACCAAACTGTAACCCAACCTCTGCGAGTCCACTGCTTAAGACCTCTTGGGCGTGGCTCCGGGTCATGGTCCTCAAATTTGGCTCAGAGTAAATCTCTATAAAATTATTTTACAGAGTTTGGTCTTTTTTTCCATTGACAGTTGCCAGATGTTAACACTATTAGGTGAGATCACTGGTGGTTTTAAAAACAACCCTGGAAGATGAACAATCACAAATCAGTGTGAACCATGATGAGAAATGCTCTACTCTTAACCATGACCCAATCAACATATTTATCAAGGTTTTCTGTTTTTTCTTTTTTCTTTTTTTTGAGACATTCGTGCTCTGTTGCCCTGGCTAGAGTGCTGTGGCATCAGCTTAGCTCACAATAGCCTCCCAAGTAGCTGGGACTACAGGCACTCACCACCACATCCATCCGGCTAATTTTTTGTTCTATTTTTAGTGGAGACCGAGGCTCACTCTTGCTCAGGCTGGTCTAGAACTCCTGACCTCAAGCAATCCTCCCACCTCGGCCTCCCAGAGTGGTAGGATTACAGGTGTGAGCCACCGTGCCTGGCCAAAGTTTTAAATGAAGACAAATTAAATATGTTGATCAATATTTTTCAAAATTGAAAGGGTTAATCTCTCTTGACCCTCCAGGGGAGGCTAACTACAGCTCATCCATCACTGCACTCACCTTATTTCCTTCACATGGACAGTCTGGCTCTTCCATTAGACAGATTCCAAGTCATACTTGTTTTGGAATCCTCTAGGTTGGTACTTGTTACACAGTTGGTGTTCAACAAATACTTGTTGATCTTAAACTGAATCGTATGTGCATATCATAATTCCAAATCTCCAGCAGATAACAGAAAGAGATCTAGACTAATCAGGTACTTTTTAAAAGATACAAAACAAATTCCTGTTTGGAAAATTTTTTAATTAAAAAATTAATTGCACAAAGGGAAAGGGGAAATAGTTGACAGTAATTCACCTAAGAAAGTCTCCCCTCCAACTTCCTCTCCAGGCTGTGGGTGTGGCTCTCGCCTATAATCCCAGCATTTTAGAAGGCAGAGGTGGGAAGATCACTTGAGGCCAAAAGTTCGACAGCAGCTCTGGGCAGCACAAGACATCCTTTTCTCTACAAGAAAATAGAAAAAATTAGATGGAAGAGGAGGACCTCTTGAGCCCTGGAGTTCAAGGCGGCAGTGAGCTATGATTGTGCCACTGTGCTACAGCCTGGGCATTAGAGTGAGACCTTGTCTTAAAAAAAAAAAAAAATCCCCACCCCAACTATTTTTTTTGAGGGGTGGTTGCTGACTTCAAGCTCTCTGTGAGCAACCATGAAAAAGTAATTAATTGTTCAGTTCCTGCACAGAACTCTGGATCTCTCAGCTATGCAGGAGGTTGTGCAAGAAGCAGAGCAAGGCGCAATGTGCAAATTAAAGAAGGTCATTACTCTATTTTCTTTTGCATGGGTCTGGATCTATTTTTGGGTGCTTGTCCAGAAGATGGTGACCAGGATGACAAGAGGACTTGAAGCCATGTCAAATTAATAGCTGAAGACTCAAGGGGATTTTTAGCCTGCAGAAAAACGAGGGAGAGGGTTGGGTATAGGGATTGGAAGCTGTCTTCAAATAACTAAAAAGTGTCATAATAGAAATAACGAAGCCTTATTCCGTTCTCCAAAGTGCAAAACTAAAACTGACAGAGGTCAGGCGCGGTGGCTAACGCCTGTAATCCTAGCACTCTGGGAGGCCGAGGTGGGAGGATTGCTTGAGATCAGGAGTTGGAGACCAGCCTGAGCAAGAGCGAGACTCCGTCTCTACTAAAAAAAGAAAAAATTAGCCGGGCGTGGTGGTGTGCACCTGCAGTCCCAGCTACTGGGGAGGCTGAGGCAGGAGGATTGCTTGAACCCAGGAGTATGAGGTTGCTGTGGGCTAGGCTGACGCCTCGGCACCCGCGGGGGCAACGCAGTGAGACTCTGTCTCAAAAAATAAAAAATAAATAAATAAAATCAATAGAAATTGCAAGCAATATATTTCAGCCCAGAAAATCTTCTAACATTTAGAATTATCCTGAAATAAATGAAATGAGGTATTTGGAGGGAGGTAATGCCATTTGACACCAGCAGAGGTTGAAGACAGACGCCTTGAGAGGTTTGTTAAAGTCCCTTCTGCAGATTAGACTAGATGACCTAGTTGTGTGATCCAGGTAAGCTCCATTGCTCTCTTCTTCACACCTCTCTTTTAGCACTTACCACATTTCTTGAATTACTGTGTAGATACCAGCCTTATCTCCCCAACTTAGTGTCAACACTATGATGCTCTGTTCCCCCTCTGGGCCACCCCTGGGGAGTAAGGATGCATGCTCGGGAGGGGCTGGGAAGTGAACTGCTGCCTCTGATTACCCTCTCAGCTTTCTTCTCTGTTTCCTGATCTCCTATCACTTTGATCTTGGACTTCTAGCCTCCAGAACTATGAGAACATAAATTTCTGTTGTTTAAGCCACTCTGGCATTTTGTTGTGGCAATCCTATAAAACTAATACACTTACTATACAACCATTCATTATATTTTTATACAATTCAATACACTACCATACAACATTACAGCAGGGAAAATTAATTAACTCTAACCACACGATTTAAATACGTTCAACGTTTGTAAATATTGTCTGTGTAAATATCACAGAACCTTGCGAGTTCCCCAATGTTCTCTCTTGAAACTTCACGACTTTCAGTCGTCCGGGTCCCTCGACTCTCTCCCCTGACTAGGAGCTACTCTATGGTAGAGAGAGCTCAGGCTTTCTAGCTCTCTACTCCTCTGATTGCCACATCTATGGTTTCCGGAGGCCTCACCGGAAGCTCTCGTGTGGAAAGGCTTGGGGGAGACCGGAAGTTGCGCTCTCAGTACTCGCCATTTCAAAATGCTGCTGAGGCCTTAGGGCCTGTGACTGCCACCCCCCACCCCCCCCACCCGGGCTCGGCGGGGGAGCGACTCATGGAGCGACCGTAAGGTGTGGCCTCCGGGTTTTGTCCGCGGGGTGCCGGGAGGCCGGGAGCGGGCAGTGGAGAGTGAGGAGCAGGCGGCGGTGCCGCCAATTCCGCGGGCCTCGGAGCGGGGGTAAGCGGGCGGGTGGAGCTTGGGGCGTGGGTGGCCGCTTTGGGATGGTCGCGCCAGGCGGAAGGAGCGCCGGTGGGGGAAGGGTTGTGAGAGGAGGGCCTGCGGAAGATAAAAGTGGAGGTCGAGCGACGTGATGTAGTTTTTACCAACAGGTGACAAACCCTAAAATCGAAGTAGTCGGATTGACTGTGTTTAACTGGACGCAAAATTTGAGGAATACCGAGGCACTTTGGAGAACGGGGTGGGAGAGAGGGATGCGGGCAAAATCACACTGACGTGTCTTAAGATTTTAAGAGAGTAATTTTTAGGGCTGCGGACCGTCTGCTATGAGGCACTTGAGTGCGTGTTTGAAAAATGCTCGTTTTAGGGCCACACCCAGACCTCCCGAAAGAGTGTCAGGGATGGAGCTCAGGGCAGTGTATTTCAGTCAGCACACTTCCCAGTGATTTTTGTACACGCTAAACTTTGAAAACCTCTGTTTAAAGCGACACCTCGCCAAAGTGCTGCTGCTTTGTTCCTTCGTCAGGAAAGATCTGTGTTAAGAAGTTCCTCCAAGCCCTGGGGTTTGGCACGTGGCACAAGTATCTGTCAAAGATACTCGGAACCTCTTGGTATTAATATGGTATTACTATATTTCAATTTAGGTTTAGTTCCCTCCTTCCTCATATATTATTTTTTCTTTCTTTCCTTTTTCAAATATGAAATCTAGTTATGTTGCCCAGGCTGGAGTGCAGTGGCTGTTCAGAGGCGCTATCTAGCGCATTCCAGTGTGGAGGTCCTGCCCCCGGCCTCACCCTGGAGTAGGTAGTACTGCTGGCAGGCCACCGCGCCCGGCTGGTTTTTTTAGTCTCTATAACAATCCCCCCACTTCAACCCTCCCCTTCACCCCAGGTCCTGTAGAATTTCCAACATTCTGGATTTGGCTAATTGCCTTTTCGTCCTGTTTACTTATTTCTTCACCCTTCATTTTTCCCCACAAACTCATAGTTAGATTTAGATTCTTTCTTTCTTTTTGGTCAAGAATATTTAGTAAGTGGTGCTGGTTGATTGCTGTTGCTTCACATCAAGTAGTACATGCTGTGTACATGACCCTCTTTTAGTGATAAGGTTGGGGAGGGTCCAAGTGGTCAGCCTGCTTCAAGTGTTTATCTCGCCCCTGACTTTCATTTAAATGGTTTTAGCATCTCTTGATGACTGGTGAGGAGGTGACATTTAATCTGAGACTTGAAGGTTTAGGATGAGTCAGTCTTACACAGAACTTACAGTGCTCCAAATGAAGGAACAATGTGTGCAAAGGCTCTGAAGCAGAAGGGAAAGGCATGGCTGAGGTGCAAGGAGCAAGGGGAAGAACAGGGCAAGATAAGACTGGAAATGTGCTGAGGGGCTAGACCGTGTGTTTATCTTTAGAGCAGTAGCAAGCTATTGAACAGGGCCTGACACTGTAGGAGTTTTTTTTTTTTTTTAAATATCCTTCTGGCTGTGGTGTGGAGTTTCTATTGGAGGGTGCTTGAAAAGACCAGTCGAGGGTCTGTTGCAGTTACCCAGGCAAGAAACAACACCTTGGTTTGGGGATGTGGTCATGAAGTTGGAGAGAAGGGGTGGTTTTTCAGTGATTTAGGAGTTAAAATCAGGGTTTGTTGATGGATGTGATAATAGGGGAAGAGGGAGGGATCAAGTACTACTTCTTTCTGGTGTGACCAACTGAATGTAACTACTAACTGGCAGCATGTTACAGTGGAAAAGGATAAATTTTAGACTTGGGCAAATTATTTGACTTCTTTAAGCCTCAGCTCTTTAAAAAGCAGTATTTAACCCTGCCGTATTCAAAAGGGATTCCAAGTGGAAAAGAGACAAAGTCTAGCGTTGAATTCAGAGGCCATCAACTGACTTCATTTTTCACATATATTCTTGATCCACGCCTTTGTCATGATGTTTTCTCTCCCATTTTTTTCAGTATTCTCCCATTTTTTTAGTTATTGAAAGTAGATCTTCACCCCAAACTTGTGCAGTATTCTTCCATCTTAATGTCTTTCCACTTCTATCTCTACTCCCTCTCTCATTCCTCCTCTGTCTTGCAATCACAAAGTAGTTTCTTCTGCTCTGAACTTCCATAACTTGGTCTCTTTTTAGTGACACAACACTTTCTACTGGGTGGTAAAGTAATGTAAGAAACCCTTATTGTGGTTTAAGTTCTTCACAGTTGCCAAGTGGTTAATTCCTGTTCCTACCAAGATTCTGAACCAACATGACTGTTGGCTTCCTCTCCTAAAATCATCCCTGAAGGAACTATAAAGGTTAAATACTGTGAGAAACAAATGGGTGATGTGGGCTGTCTTGAATTGGTTGATGGTGGGGGTGGAAGGCAGTGGCTGCCCTGAAACAGGAGCCCAGTGAATGTGGGAGAATAAAACCATGGGGCAAGGGAACTATTGGCGTACTGCTCCAGTTTCTCTCCTGCTTCATTATCTTGGAATTACCTTTTTCCACACTTGCTGTGACTCAGCGCCCTAGTCCAGGTCTCCTCAAGAGTGACTCAGGCATTACAGAAGCCCATACTTCTGAGGAGTTGAGGAAAATAACAGGTGGCGACTGACTTGAGGCATTTACTTCTTTGTTATTTATGCTCTTAATCCTTAGGTCTTACCAAATCCTTATCATAATGTCGCTTTTCCCTGGGAAACAAAGGGTGAAGCCCTGATCTAAGTAGTGGTTGTATGTGGTAGAGAGTGACTGTGGTTTTCCAGGGCTTGGGGCTTTCTATTTTAGTGTTCATTTCCTACCTTCTCCAACTTACTGGGGCTGATATGGACTGGAGTCTGGATTTCCCCCGTATATTATATTTTGCTTGTCAGAGTAGCTGATAGCCTTTATCCAGGGAAAAACAACAAAGACAGTTGAAGAGCACAGATATTTTAAGAGAAAAACAATTTATAGGCTTCATTGGAATAGAAACATTAGAACAGATGGACCAAGAACTTAAAGTTAGACTAATAATCATCCTAAAAGAAATAAGGGAAGATATTAGCAACTTGAAATAAGAATAAGTAGGGGCTAGGAGAACCAAACAGAAATATTAGGTGTGAAAAATACAATGGTTGAAATAAAGAATGTCATAGATGGAATAAATAACAAAATGGATAAACTGAGGAATGAATTAAAACTCCAGATTGAGAAAATCTCCCAGAACAAAGAAAAAGAAAATATAGGCCAGGCGCGGTGGCTCACGCCTGTAATCCTAGCTCTCTGGGAGGC